TCTAGGCGTGCGAGCTTCAGGACTTGCGGCTCTTGGGCTTTAAGAGGAGCAGGTTCAGTGGTTGTGGCTCAAAGGCTTAGTTGCTCTGCGGCGTGTGGGATCCTCCCAGACCAGGGATCGAACCCATGTCTCCTGAGCTGGCAGGTGGATTCTTATCCACGGCATCACCAGGGAAGCCCCCAACAGTGCATTTTTAAATCTGCTTATATTATGCTGAGTATAACATAATTTCAAATCTCAGGAAGTCAGAGGCTGCGGATTCCAGTCTGGTGGTTCAGGGATGATGGAAGAGGGAGGAAATGGGGGCTGCTGTCCAAACAGAAACCACACACTGTGGGAGGCCCTTTCTAACACTTTCAAGGCTCTGTTCTTTTCTTCCCATTTTCTTTGCCCTGGACTTGAAAAAAAATATTTTGGCTATCTTAGTACCCAGACCAGGGACTTGTGCCTAACCACTGGACCGCCAGGGAATTTCTACCCTGGATGTAATAATTTTGTGATTTTGATGGACATTTAATAACATGAAAATATTCATAAGTGAGAAAAATGTTTTGTAAAATAATATCCTAATTTTGTTATAAGTGAATAAATGTACATGGGTCTGTATATACATTTTGTTGTGGATCACAAAAAAACTGTGGAAAATTCTTCAAGACATGGGAATACCAGACCACCTGACATGCCTCCTGAGAAATCTGTATGCAGATCAAGAAGCAACAGTTAGAACTGGACATGGAACAACAGACTGGTTCCAAATAAATAGGGAAAGGAGGATGTCAGGAGTATATTGTCACCCTGCTTATCTTATATGCAGAGTACATCACGCGAAATGCCAGGCTGGACGAAGCACAAGCTGGAATCAAGATTGCTGGGAGAAATATCAATAACCTCAGATACGTAGATGACACCACCCTTATGGCAGAAAGCAAAGAAAAATTAAAGAGCCTCTTGATGAAAGTGAAAGAGGAGAGCGAAAAAGCTGGCTTAAAACTCAACGTTAAAAAAACCAGGATCATGGCATCCGGTTCCATCACTTCATGGCAAATAGATGGGGAAACAATGGAAACAGAGAGAAACTTTATTTTTGGAGGGCCCCAAAATCACTGCAGATTCTGACTGCAGCCATGAAATTAAAAGATGCTTTCTCCTTGGAAAAAAAGCTATGACCAACCTAGACAGCATATTAAAAAGGAGAGACATTACTTTGCCAACAAAGGTCAGCCTAGTCAAAGCTATGGTTTTTCCAGTAGTCATGTATGGATGTGAGAGTTGGGCTATAAAGAAAGCTGAGCACAGAAGAATTGATGCTTTGAACTGTGGTGTTGGAGAAGACTCTTGAGAGTCCCTTGGACTGCAAGGAGATCAAACCAGTCCATCCAAAAGGAAATCAATCGTGAATATTCATTGGAAGGACTGATGCTGAAGCTGAAGCTCCAATACTTAGGCCACCGGATGCAAAGAACTGACTCATTGGAAAAGACCCTGATGCTGGGAAAGATTGAAGGTGGGAGGAGAAGGGGATGATAGAGGATGAGATGGTTGGATGGCATCACTGACTCGATGGACATGAGTTTGGGTAAACCCCCGAGAGTTGGTGATGGACAGGGAAGCCTGGCGTGCTGCAGTCCATACGGTTGCAAAGAATTGAACACGAGTGACTGAACTGAACTGAACTGGGAGAGAATGCAACAAGTTCTTAATGGTGAGTTTTGCTAGATGATTTTACTTCTTCATATTTTTCTGTATTTTCCAAATTTTCTACAGTAAATACATATTACTTGAGTGATTAGGAAAAATAATATATAATAGAAATAATAACTGCATATTATCTCACTGCATCTATGAAACTCCATTCTTTACACCTTCACAGCCCAAGTCAAAAAGGTTTATTATTAAAAAGGACAGAAATAGAGATGCAGGGACTGCCCTGGTGTTCCAGTGTTTAGGACTCTGCACTTCCACTACACGGGGCACTGGTTCCATCCCTGGTTGGGAAAAAAACGATCCCCGTGCTGCTGAGTCACAGGATGGATGACTCAGCCCCCAGCCCCCAAATAAGGAGAGCTGCAAATACATCTCAGATTGGGTGTCAACTCCCATTCACAGTGGTGGCAGCCTGGAGCATTACTTGCAAAAGGATTCTGAAGCTGTCTTCCCTCACCCCCCTGCCCCCACAGGAGACAGAACTGGGATCACAGAGCAGGATCTAGCATGGATAAGGGCTGATGGAGGCCTGCATGAGTCTACGGTTATTTATCTTCCCTGAAACAGACACCAGGCTAGACAGAGCCTTCGGGGTTACCAATGACGCCCGAATTAACCAATGAGGAAACTGAGGCTCAGAGACATGAAGCAACTCCTCGGGGTTCTAAACACAGAGCTGGGATTAGACCTCAGGAAGGAGACTGGCCTTGGGTCTCCACTCTGCTTTCAGCTAATTCATTCAAGTTCACGTGTGCCTTTCCATCAAAGTGACGGAGCAGGAGTTCATCCGCTGTGACCTCTGAGAACTTCGTTAGGTCGGTCAACTTCATCCCTGCTGCCAAAGACACCTGGTCCCCCCCAGCTCTGCTCTGAGGTTCTCCATTTTCACACAGAGAAAATGAACTAAGACCAAGTTGAAGCATTGGCTGTAGTGACAAAGTTCTCCCATTAGGTGGCGGTACCAGCAAGGAATAGATAAAGCAGGTCTCTGACGGGCACTTGCCTAATGGTTTACTTATGAAGATTTTGCCCTTCCAGTGCAGAGGCTGTGGGTTCAATCCCTATTTGGGGAACAAAGATATCTGTGGTATGACCAAGGTTTTGCTTTTTTGTTTTGTTTTTGTAAATCTTTTGTAGAGTATTTTGAAGATATATTTGTATCAAAGCACTTTAAATTTTACAAAGTAGATAACTTTGTAGATAAATTTACAAAGTAGATTAGAAGGAAATATTAAAAGTTAATGTCAATAAAAGGGTGGTATTTTAAGTTATTTCCGTTTTCACTATTTGCATCTTCTATAATGAACAAAATAGTTTCATAAAGAAGTTACTGACATAGTGAGAGATTATTTTGGGAATATTTTGTCTGTGCAGTTTGGCCTCTTGTCTGATTGAGAGAAGATAATGGACCAGCGTGGAAGAGAAAGGAGACAGGCAGGCCCTTGATACTGTTTCTTATTTAAATATGAAGGGTGTGCTCACAGGGGGTCTGATGATCAAGGTGCTGGGTGCTTTCTGTCTTTCCATCAGTCACCAGGTCTTTGGGAAGGTTATAAAGGAAACGGCTGGGAAAGCTGATATGTGGGGGCTGTTTGGCACTCAGGCGACAGGAGCCCTGCCAGGAGTGTGATCCCCACTGTGCTGCCAGCATCACCAGCCTTTGGCCCTCAGGAGCAGAACCTAGCCCACCCAGCACCCTCAAGTCCATATCCTGGCCCACCTGGTAAAATGATAGTGGGATCTATCTCACACAAAGGCCTTTGCTGTGGGCTTTCCAGGTGGTGGTAGTGGTAAAGAACCTGCCTACCAATGCAGGAGAAGTTAGAGACACTGGTTCGATCCCTGGGGCAGGAAGATCCCCTGGAGGAGGGCATGGCAATCCAGTATTCTTGCCTGGAGAATCCCAAGGACAGAGGAGCCTGGTGGGCTACAGGCCATGGGGTCACAAAGAGTCGGACACCGCTGAAGTGACTTAGCATGCACATGCGCAGAGGCCTTTGCTACTTTCTTTTTTCTCCATGCAACCTACTCTGGTCAGTTGTGGTGTTAACCCTGCCCTCAGTTTGAAGCTCAGTCCTTGGTTTGTCCCTTTCTGGGCTTCCTGGTGGCTTGGTGGTATATAATCCACCTGCCAATGCAGGAGACACAGGTTTGATCCCTGGGCTTGGAAGATCCCCTGGAGAAGGAAATGACAACCCACTCCAATATTCTTGCCTCGGAAATCCCATGGACAAAAGAGCATGGCAGGCTACAGTCCATGGGGTCGCAAAAGAATCAGACATGACTTAGCAATGAAACAACAACAGATATTGGTAAAATGTATGCAGAGTTTGAGATCTGAAAGACATTCACAAAAGCATATAGAAGTATGATCATCTATATTTCTCTCTCCTATGTCATATAACTATCCAAATATAAAAGTGTAAAAAATTTTTAAAGAGAATCTTGTAATGCTTTAGGAGTATGAATGTATTTTAAAACATTATTAGCCATCTCTTAAAAAAAGATGATAGATTTAGTTAAATTGGAGGCATGACACTGAATTACTAGCACATGCTACTTTTTCAACATAGTACATTATTTTCTTTACATTCACTTGCTTAGTGTGAAGAGGATTTACTTAAACATGTAAGGGTTATACTGTTTCACCTCAAAATAACCTAAAGTTAAGCACTTAGGGCATTAGTTTCCTTTAACATAGGTGTTAAAACTTTTAAACTCCACCTTATTTACAATAAATGTATTGATACCTCTGCAGTATGTATTTTGTTCAGTCACTAAGTCATGTCCTCTTCTTTGCAATCCCATGAAGGGCAGCTAGGCTTCCCTGTCCTTCTCTATCTCCTGAGGTGAGTTCAAACTCATGTCCATGGAGTCAGTGACGCCATCCAACCATCTCGTCCTCTGTTGTCCCCTTCTCCTCCTGCCCTCAACCTTCCCCAGTTTCAGGGTCTTTTCCAGTGAGTCAGCTCTTCACATCAGGTGGCCAAAGGATTGGAGCTTCAGCTTTAGCATCAGTCCTTCCAATGAATAGTCAGGGTTGATTTCTTTTAGGACTGACTTGTTTGATCTCTTTGCTATATTTATGTGTATTTATGGATGTATTTAATAGGTGTTCCTTGCTATAAATAATCAGCAAAAATGTCAGGTTTTTTTTCTTTTTGGCCAAATCATTTGCTTTAAGTCTGTTCTTTCTTTTAAGATACTTCCTTAACACTCTTCAAATAGAAGCTCACTTTGATCCAAGTGTCATTATAGAAAATGAGACTCTGAGAAAATCGGCTTCAAGTCCTTACCTGGCATTTCAAGATCAATGCGACTTTCTGGTCCCCGAAAGTTGGAATGATTCTTCTTTTCTGTGGTTGATAGTTCAGGTGGCTGTTTTGAGGTGGCAGCTTTCTCAGACTTTTCAGGCAGCTCGCTCCGGCCTGCCTCTGCGCCTGGCCCCGGGGTTCTAGGCTGTGCCGGGGTCGTGTGGGTCTCCATCTCTCGGCCAGCGCTCACTGAGGGTGAAAGAGCTACCGTCAGTTACGTTCCTCCCCTGACCTTTGCCTAAAACCACCATATTTGCAATAGATTCAAAACATATCATCTAAGATATTTCAGAGTCTTGTGACAAACTACTAGCTCTTGTTTCCAAATAAGTCATCAGTTCTCTTCCAAGAGTTAGCTTTCTGAAATTTCTCATAAAGAAATAGACAAAGTTCCCTTCAACCTAAGGTTCTGGGATCAGTCATCCTTCCTCAAGTTCTTCATTCAAGTACTTCCAGCTCTTCAGTAAACGTTTCACAGCCCTTCTTCCTTTCTTGCGATGTTTATGTACACATTGCTGGTTGTTCAGTTGCTAAATCATGTCTGACTTTACGTCCCCATGAGCTGCAGTATGCCAGGCTTCCCTGTCCTTCACTGTCACCCTGAGTTTGCTCAGATTCATAAGAATGATTTACAGCTCTGACCTAGCGACACCCTAATGTCATAACTTTTCTAAAAAAATCTATCAAAACAAAACATTAACTCATTTTAGTTTTCTTAAAAAGCGTATGCTAAACAAACTTTTTAGGATGAGAAAGACTCTTTTAGAAAATTGAAAACTATCTCTTAAAATGTTAAGTAATACCAAAATTTGACATTTGTAATTTGCATTAAAGATTTACAGTAAGTGCCCATTGAATTTAAGGCATAGCTTGTTCATGTGAAGTTATACTGAAACCAGGCAGAAAAAGAACACTGCTGAATGTGCATTTACTGTCAGAATACAGACATGCCTTCTACCCCCAAAATGTGATGCAGGTGACTCACGATTTTGACAGAAAGCTTCATCAGACCCGTCAGGACACTGCTCCACTCCATCACAAGCCAGAGTGATGTCAATGCAACAGCCATCGTCACAAAAGAAGTGGTAGCGTGAGCAGACACTGGAGCATCCTGTTTGTAAACAAGTCTCAAGTCACAGGAGTGCAGAAAGGAAAGTGCTTCCACCGCGTCAGGATTAAGCGAGACTGTGTGAACGACAGATGGCTTTGGGTAAGGAGATGCAGGTAATGAGGGGACACTTAACAGGCTGTGTGGCAGCAGTAGGTTCTGGAAAGGTTAGGGGCTTTCTTCTTGACCTTCCTGACCGAACTCTCAGGAATCACCATGGGCTTTTCGTCTCAGGGTCCTTGTCCAAGCCAACAGTGCTGAAGAGATGGGAGCAGGGAAGCAACAGCTGTGGTCCTCCCCACCCAGCCCTGGGTGTCCTCCTTCAGGTGACTCACTCTGCACTCATGTGCTCACCCGGCACATCCTCAGCCGGCCCCTAACACTGGTTCATCCTCTGCACAGCACTTGGCTGGCTGACCCTATTTCATCAGAGACACTAGTTTTGTTTTGTTTTTTTTTAAGTGTACCATTTTTAAAGTCTTTATTGAATTTTTACAATATTGTTTCTGTTTTATGTTTTGGTGTTTTGCCCCGACGTATGTGGGATCTTAGCTACCCGACCAGGGATCAAACCTGTGCCCCCTGCATTGGAAGGTGAAGTCTCAGCCTGAAATCTGAACCACCACGGAAGTCAATATGGGTTTTTGTTTCTTTTCTTGGTCATTTTTAATGATCTAAAATTTTTAAAATTAATTAATTTATTTATTCTTGGCTGTGCTGGGTCTTCCTTGCTGCTCAGGCTTTTCTCTAGTTTCAGGGCCTGGGCTTCTCACTGAGGGCTTCTTTGCTGCTGAGCATAGGCTCTAGGGAGTCAGGGCTTCAGCAGTTGTGGTTCCCAGGCCCCAGAGCACAGGCTCAGACGTTGTGGTCCACGGGCTTATTTGCTCCGTGGCATGTGGGACCCTCCTGGATCAGGGGTCCAACCAGCATCTCCTGCCTTGGCAGGTGGATTCTTTACCACTGAGCCACCTGGGAAGCCCAGAGACACCGCTTTCTACATGCTGTGTGTCTTGCATTCATTTTTCCTAAATAATAATTTTTACTGAGATCAACTTTCTACTATTGAACCCTCTTTGCTGGCCATCATAGATCTGTGGTGCTGTAAAGAAAAAATAGAATCTTTAGCTACTAGCTAGGGAGAATTTATTATCTACAAATAATGAAATTCCCTCCATTTTGGAGCGGTGGTGGTGGTTTAGTTGCTAAGTGGTGTCCAACTCTTATGATCCCATGAGCTGTAGCCTGCCAGGCTCCTTTGTCTGTGGGATTCTCCAGGCAAGAATGTTGAAGTGGGTTGCCATTTCCTTTTCCATTTTGGAGTGCTCAAGAGCTTTTAACCCTCAGAGCTACAAGTATTTTCTTGAAAGGCATTCCCTGTGCCCCCAGCTCCAGAGTAAGCCAACTAATAACCGCTGATACTGGTGATACAGACTAAAGGTATCAGGTTAAAGGAGTCACACGGAGTCTATATTCTCCAGGGACAGATGGACTAGATAACTGTCTCAGAACACAGGAGAGCAACACATGATGATATTTCTGAGCATAGAATACACATCCAAGCGGGTCTTGGAAGCATTCTACTGGAAAGAAGTTCAGTTAAAATGCTGGGAAAATGGAGAAGGTAATGGCATCCCACTCCAATACTCTTGGCTGGAAAATCCCATGGACAGAGGAGCCTGGTAGGCTGCAGTCCATGGGGTCGTGAAGAGTCAGAGGTGACTGAGCGACGTCACTTCCACATTTCATTTTCATGCATTGGAGAAGGAAATGGTAACCCGCTCCAGTGTTTTTGCCTGGAGAATCCCAGGGATGGGGGAGCCTGGTGGGCTGCCGTCTATGAGGTCACACAGAGTCGGACAGGACTGAAGCGACTTAGCAGCAACAGCAGTGTGATTGCTGGGTAATATGATAGTTCTATTTTTAATTTTTAGCTCTTAACTAGTTGCATAGTACATAACCCTTCTTAACTATAATTTCCTCATTTGAAATTCCATTAAGTTCTAAGTCCTTTTCCTGAACAGTTTTTATGCTCTCTCAATATAAATTGTTACTAATTAGAAAATTAAAACATGTATTTTAACACTTAAAAAAAAATGCTGGGAAAAGAGTCCATCTGGGTGGAAGGCAATTTGAGGATACCTAGATTCTGGAGGAAGAAGAGGTGAAGAAAATAAGGGTGGCAGGGACATCCCTCGTGGTCCAGCGGTTAAGAATCAAGAATCCTCCCACCAACGGGGGACGAGGGTTCGATCCCTGGCCTGGGAGGATCCCACTTGCCACGGAGCAGTTAAGCCGGTGCGCCTCAACTGCTGAGACTGTTCCCTACAGCCCCGGAGCCGTGACCACTGAGCCCCTGGCTTAGAGCCTGTCCTTTGCAGCAAGCGAAGTCGCCGCAAAGAGAAGCCTGTGCCCCGCAGCTCGAGTAGCCCTCACTCTCTGCCATTGGAGAAAGCCCTCGTTCAGTAACAAAGACCCAGCGCGGCCTAAATACATGAACGTGTGTGCTGTCTCTGTCATGTCTGACTCTTTGCGACCCTCTGGACTGTAGCCTGCCAGGCTCCTCTGTCCATGGGATTTCCCAGGAAAGAATACGGGGGTGGGTTGCCATCTCCTCCTCCAGGGTCATCTTCCCAACCCAGGGATTGAACCCGGGTCTCCTGTGTCTCCTGCCTTACAGGTGGATTCTTTCCCCGCTGAGCCAATACAGAAGCCCTAATAAATAAATAAATAAGCAAACACCTGTTAAGAAACAGTGGCAGAAAGAAGGGGACAAAGGGAGTCAGCAGTTCTGGCTGAGCACCTGGGCCTAGAGAGGAGGATCTGCTTCGGTCACGGGGAAGGGGCTGGGAGGAAAAGTAAAGGGAAACTACAGACAGCAAGTCAGGATGCAGCCTCTGCTCACATCTTTTAAATGCGTGACATGAAAATCCTAACCACCTCAAGGCTTTCCTGACTCCTTGGTCACTATGGAGACACATCCATACGAACAATTTCTCCATGTATTTCTGGATCAGTGGTCTCTGGACTTTTTTGACCATGTATATCTCCCATCTATAAACCATATGTGTGTGCCACTGTAGTAACATATTTTAATACATGTTATAAGATAGACTGAAAATTTAAAGAGGATTAAAAATGAATACAAATATAAGTTCTGATATTTTCTTTTCCATTTAAAAAAAATGTCTTGACTGTCTGCGGGGGATCCTGTCTGGAGACCACACAACTGGGTTACTTTGGGAGTGTCTCTTGGCTTGCTCTCTGAGTAGATTATTGCTTGTTTGTTTTTTATTCATTTTGACTAGATCATTTTTTGCAAAGCTTGAAAACATGTGGCCTCTACATCCAAACCTGAATCAAGTTATCACAGAAATAAGGGTATATGCTTGTCTGTTTACTATAGAACTTGCCATCTTTGATTACCAGAATGCAAGCTAGCAGCAAGATCCGTATATGTAATCAAGGGGACAGAAGCCCTCTCAATCCCTATCTCTCAGCTTCAACGTCTCCATGTGGTCTCCTATAGCTTCCCAGGTGACTTGGTGGTAAAGAATCCACCTGCCAATGCAAGAAACTCGGGTTTGATCCCTGGGGTCGGGAAGATCCCCCGGAGAAGGGAATGGCAACCCATTCCTGTATTCTTGCCTGGAAAATCCCGTGAACAGAGGGGCCTGGCGGGCTACAGTCCATGGGTTCTCAGAGTCAGACACGACCTAGTGACGAAACGGCAGCAGCAGCAGCATGTGGTGTCTTATTAACTTTAATTCAGTTTGCTATTCCAATCTAACCAGTGAGTGATTCCAGAAGGCAGTTAACACAACATAATTCTTTTTATTTTCTGTATAAAGTTACATACATAGGATCTCTCTCTCCCTCAAACTTGCTCAGTTGTATCAGACTCTTTGTGACCACCCTGTGCTGTAGCCTGCCTGGCTCTTCTGTCCATGGGGTTATCCTGGCAATAATACCAGAGTGGGTGGCCATTCCCTTCTCCAGGAGATCTTCCCGACCCAGGGATCAAACCCTGGTCCCCCACTTTGCAGTCAGATTCTTTTTTTTACCATCTGAGCCACCAGGGAAGCCCTACATAAGACCTATTACACCCGACTGGCCTTTCAGTAATAAGAGGTGAATCACATCACCCTCTGCAGCTTCAAACACACTTTTGTCATATTGAGAAAGGCCAGAAATGTCCAACTGGCAACTTGGCTACTCTCTAGTTGCCTTGGGAGTCCAGAAGACTGGCCAGAGTGAATAAATCAAAGCAGCAAGCAGCTGGTTGATGTCAGCCCTTTGCCTCCATCAGCTCAGGCCATGTCTCCCTTTGCTAATTTCTGTAGGGCTGACAGCTGCCCAGGAGCACTCTGGTCCCTGGCTAGGGAGCCCTGTTCCCAGGAGCACAGCCCTCCAAGCTCAGCGCCTCCCCACTGGCTGTGGCCTCAGCTGGACCGGGTGCCATTGTTTTCTGCTCCCACCTGCCCCAGTGCACAGTCAGCATTGCCAGGTTTGTTTTAAGTAACTGGCTCTTCTGTATAGCTGCAGTAAGCCCACAAACGGGGCCTTGCTCCAGTACGGACTGGGATGCTGCTGGCTCATTCCCCATCGCCGACTCACGGTCGTCTACTGGACTGGAGTTTGGGGTACCATTTGCAGCCGCTCTTCCTTCCTCCAGGTCAAACTGAACCGTGGTTGAACAGGAGTGAGCCAACCTGATTTTTTTTTTTAAGATTTACTTGTTTGTTTTTGGCTGCACTAGGTCTCCACTGCTGTGCTCAGTCTTAGTTTCAGAGAACGGGGGCTGCTTCCAGCTGCGGTGTGAGGGCTCCTCACTTGGGGGGGCTTCTCCTGTTGCCCAGCGTGGGCTCTAGGGCACACAGGCTTCAGTAGTTGTGGCATATGGGGCTTAGTTACTCCGAGGCATGTGCAGCCTTCCCGGACCAGGGATCGAACCTGTGTACCTTGCATTGGCAGGTGGATTCTTAACTGCTAGACCCCAAGGAAAGCCAGCTGATCTCATTTTGAATGTTGCTAGTATCTGTATCTTGCTAGCACTGTTTCTTTGTGGAAGGCAAATTACCAAGGTGGCAGAGTTCTTAGAATTCTAAAGTCTCCTTCCTTCATTTCTAATATGTACAGGGACCCTGGTCTTTGATGGAAGACAAGGTCAGCCCAAGTACAAGCAAATCCAATGATTTTATTCTTTCTCCTGAATGCTTGCTTGATTATGATCCAAATATGGAGGAATCAAGGACATAGGAGACAGTCTACAAGTTTGCTAGAGCCAGGATTAGTGAAGGGTCACTAATCAGGGCCAGGGATCAGGTCAGTGGAACTCAGCACCCATGCTGGCTTCCTTGCACACAGTTACCATTCAGAGCAGATGCCGAGAAAGTATCCCCCGACCGAGCAACGGGACTCTAGACACACACACACGATCTCTGCAAAAGCTCTTAGCTTTAGTGCTGCCAAGTTCCATGTACATTTTTTTTAACTTAATGAGCTAATCTTAGAACTGTAGATGTTTGGGACAGCAAGAAACAGATAAATTGAGAGAAATGAGCTTACAATGAGCAGCAGGATGTGGGAACCATTGTGTATATGTCAAGCTATGTTATCAACATGTCTGTGCTTCTCTGTAAAGTGTCCATGAAAAGTTTTCAACAGTCCTTTGAAATTGACACATGCACTGTATATGTTTTAATTTGTTTTATTATTTTTTAAAATTTGTTTTAAATCTACCTCTTAGCTGCATTCTTTGAACATAGTATCAACTAGCCCACCCTCCTTTAAACAGGAGGGTGGTCCCCACCCTCTCCTGGGAAACCCAGATGTCTTTTATGAAACTGAGTCAAGGAAAGATGGGGCATCTCTAAGGTCCTGTGACTCACACAGCCTATTGTCATCCCTGGAGTGTGAAGTGCTCCCCTGTTCCACTCCGGCAATGTTGCTTAACATGAAATATAGTGGAGCCTAGTTTTGTAATCATATTTTTAGTCAAGATTTTCCCACTCAGCAACAGCCACAAATAAAATGGAAGGGCCCACTATATTGCCCAGTTAGAATATAAAATGGCAAACTTTTTTTATGTGGACCATTTTAAGTTTTTTACTGAATTTGTTACAATATTGCTTCTGGTGGTTTTTTAAAATAATTTTATTTATTTTTGACTGGGCTTGGTCTTCACTGCTGCTCGAGCTTTTTCTCTAGCTGTGGTGTGAGGGCTCCCCATTGCAGCGGCCTCCCTTGCTGTGGAACACGGACTCTGGGGCATGCAGGCTTCAGTAGTTGCTGCACATGTGCTTGGTAGATGTGGCTCCTGGCCACAACTTAGTTGCTCCACCCCATGTGGGAATCTTCCCAGACCAGGGATAGAACCCGTGTCCCCTGCATTGGCAGATGGATTCTTTACCACTGACTGAGCCACCAGGGAAATCCTTGCTTCTGATCTGTGTTTTGGTGTTTTGCCCTCAAGCACTGTGGGCATCTTAGCTCCCCGGCCAGGGATGGAACCTGCAATCCCTGCCGTGGAAGATGAAGCCTCAACCACTGGACACCAGGGAAGCCCCTAAAGTGCCAGTTTAACACCACCCTTCCATCCACAGCCTGGCTTCTGCTGGCCACCGTGAACGCGCGGGAAGGGCTTTCTTCTCACCTCCTGTGGAGAAGGCCACGGGAAGCACGGTCACTGAGACGTTGTCGGAGCTCCTCTGCCCAGCAGTGTCCACCACTGTCAACTGAAGGGTGTATGTTCCTTCCCGCAGGTGGGACAGCTTCAGGGTTCCGGACTGAGGCACCTGATACCCAGACAGGAAACGTCACAGTTAAGAACCCGAAGCACAGAATCTGACGTCCTCCTGAGCTGGCAATCAGTGCCATCCTTGGAGCAGTCCTGTGACCCCCTTCTCCACTCCTGGTCCTGGGTCTCAGAATACCGATCACACACAATTTTGGCAGGCTGGCCAGGAGACCTAAGTTCCGGTGGGTTTGGGGCCTGACACCCCCTTTCTTTGGGAAACTTCCCTCCCACCCCCACCCACGTGGTTGCAAGGGAAGGGTCATTATGACCCCTCCCTGTGGCCACAGGGCCGCGGCTAAGCCAAGGGGAGCGGGTGGCCAGGCAGGAGGTGAAGAGCGGATCTGCCCGGAGGAGGTGGCCGGGCAGACTCTCGCTCTCTCCGACTCTGGCTCGGAATCAGGCAGGCCGCGCCAGGCGGCAGCCACGCAGCAGGTGACACCACTGTTTTTTGCTTCTTGGAACTTAGACAGGAACGCAGGGGAACTCGGGGGCGGGTGACGGCCACACCGGAGCGTGCTGACGGGAGCCCTGCAGCCTCGAGCCACGCAGCAGGTGACACCACTGTTTTTTGCTTCTTGGAACTTAGACAGGAACGCAGGGGAACTCGGGGGCGGGCGATGACCACACTGGAGCGTGCTGACGGGAGCCCCGCAGCCTCGAGCAAGGTGTGTGAGAGAGAGGCTCTGCCCTCCGCCCCAGCTGGTCAGCCCGAGCGCAGACCTAAGGCTGCGGAAGGCCAGCAGCCGGGGGGTTTGCTGCCCCGAGTGCACCGGGCAGATGGGAGGACGGAGTCAGTGCGCTTGTGACTGGGGGATGCCGAGTGAGGCCCAGTTGAAGTTAGTGGGGATTTTAAGAGACCAGGGAAGCATTGAGACTGGGCGCTGGGTGGGACATCCACACAGACATCAGCCTCACCCAAGCCCTGGTCAGATTTTTCTGAAAGCGAGTGACGTACTGGGCTTCTGGATGTCAACACGCAGCATGCCAGTGTCCAACTACACCTCAGCGGGCCGGGCCTTCTCAGGGAAGCCTCTTCTCAGCGCTGGGGCTGGAAGGACAGAGCATCCCCCTCTAAGCGGCCAGTCCATCCACCTGGGCTCTGAAGCCTCCCTCTGGCCTTCCAAGGTACCTCCTCTCTGAGGCAGGAAAGACTGGATCCAGATCCAGACCTGGGTGCACTCTAATTTTGGTCTTTTCAAATGAAATATCCCTTCCCTGCTTTCTTTCTTTCTTTTGTGTGTGTGTGTGTGTGTGTGTGTGTGTGTGAGTTGACATTTTTTATTAAACACAGCTCTAGTTGTCCTTATTCACTTGGCAGGATTAATGTGGTTTTTCAAAGTAATTTTATTTATATATTGCTTGTACTGGGTCTTCTTCTTGTCTTTTTGTACTGTTCGTGGGGTTCTCGCGGCCACCTGATGTGAAGAGCTGACTCCTTGGAAAAGACCCTGATGCTGGGAAAGATTGAAGGCAGGAGGAGAAGGGGATGACAGAGGGTGAGATGGTTGGGTGGCATCACTGACTTGATGGATATGAGTTTGAGCAAACTTTGAGAGATAGTAAATGACAGGGAAGCCGGCGCGCTGCACTCTGTGAGGTCTCAAAGAGTCGGACACCACTTAGCCACTAAACAACAACAACAACAACAACAACTGGGTCTTCGTTGCTGCTCACTTTTCCCTAGAGGTGGTGCTCGGGCCTCTCCCCGCGAAGGCTCTAAGGCGCGTGGGCTTCAGTACTTGCGGCTCGAGGGCTCAAGTAGCTGCACACCCCTCCCCGGGCTCTCCAGCACAGGCTCAGGAGCCGTGGTGCATGGCGTGTGGGATCTCCCCAGACCAGGGCTCGAACTTGTGTCTACTGCATTGGCAGGTGGATTCTTCACTACTGGGCCACCTGGGAAGCCCCTCAATATGGTTTTTAACAACCCAAATTTCCCTCTGGCCCTTATGGGGCCAGAGCACTCTAGTAAATATAGCCGAGGTATGTAGAAGTTTGTCTCAAAAACTTTTTCAGATAAATAGAGTTTGAAAAATCTGCTTAGAGGGGAAGGATAGGTCTGTCAGATTTTGCACTTTAGCTCTCTACAGGCGTGATGACGATCGACTATCTCCATGGGAAAGCTCTGAGAGCCGCTGGGTTTGGACACCAACAGAAAAGGGAGATGCTGACAACTGTGAACAGAGAGTCGATCTTGCCTGAAGGGCTTCCCAAGAAGGCTTTGCAATTGGCACCAATCCACACCTGCAGGCCTTTCCTCTCTGAGCAGAAACTAAGTATAGTAACTTAATACCAAGGACTTTGTGTGAGATTTATTTTGATAACTGCAAAAGTCAACAAGCTCCTGTTAGTCTCCTGTGAAAATCCTTCTACAAAAGGCTTCTTACCCCTTCTTGTACAGCAATTTGTTTAAAGAGTTTGCTGTTTCACCTGGTCTCCCAGACCCAGAGAGAAAAGGAAGCAAACACTTTGACTTTTGGATTTCCTCATTTCACGTTGTTTTTTTCCCTCCGTGGTTTTACTTCCTGGATACAGAAAATTCTTTCAGGTTTTTAAGCCATAAAAAGCAAAAACACTAACTTGATTTGATTATTTTTTTAAGCTTTTTTTTTTTCTTTCTTTTTTGGCATTAGTGATCTTAGTTCCCTAACCAGGGATTGAATGCCCTGCATTGGGAGTGCAGAGTTTTAATCATTGGACCACCAAGAAAGTCCCTGATTTAATTTTTTAATCTCTTTTGTGACATAGCTTGACATGTGCTTTTTCTTTTTAATTGAGGTAGAGTTGACTTACAATATTAGATAAATTTAAGGTGTATAACATAGTGAGTCAATAACTACTCCATTCACAGTTACTATAAAATATTGGTTCTATTCTCTGCCCTGTATAATACATCTTTGTAGCTTATTTATTTTATACAAAGTAATCTGTATTTTTAACTCCCTGGCCCTTTTTAGTTTATTTAGCTAACTAACAAAGGCTATCTTTCCTCAACATCAATATAAGAATATATAGAACTGTAAGATAGATGATTTCCCTCCAAGCATCCAGGTGTTTCTAGATGTCTCCTCACATTTATGACATTGGGAACGATTTACCACACACAGACATACACACAGATTATATGCAACATATCCTATTTTTGTTTGTTTTTTTTTGGCCAAGCCCCAGGGCATCTGGGATTCCCAAACCAGGAATCCAACCACACCTGATGCATTGGAAGCTCGAGTCTTAGCCACTGGGAAGTGCCACAACACACCCAATTTGTAACTTGAAAAGTACATTACCTTTAATAAAACAAAGAACTTCTAATCTCTGCCCAGGATCTGTTCTGTAGTAACAGAGGCTTTGATGGTTGGCCTCTGGCTAAATCAATGTATAACTCAGTCTGTTGTTCTGGCTCCACTGCACCTCCCTAAAATAGTGATTTAGTGGCAAGGAACATACATTTGCATTTGTTTGTATACCGCACATATATACATACGTGATTATCAGTACAACACTTGGTTATAAAATGAGTACTGCCTCTTTGTTCCCCTCACCCCCACAGTTGCTTCTAAAGTATAGAAGGCATTGGGCATATTGTCATAAGCAGTGGCAAGATAACATCGCACAAAATATTTCAGTAAGAAATTCTATTAAACCAAAGAACCCAAAGGCATGCTAGCTTTCTGCCTTGTGTCAACTTACAAAACCGAGAACTCTGTTAGTGGTTTGAAGGCCACCATTAAGATCCTTGTTGTAATCCAATGCCATCTCCCACCACACACAGGCTGAAGGAGACACAGGGGCAGCTAAACTGACCAACAGAGGCCAGAACATATACTGCTATTATTAATACAATTGTCTAGATATTTCAGGTGAACATGCTTAGGTTCTGTTCTTTAGTTATGTGTTCCTCTTTCTATTTACTTTTCATCACAGATATGACCCAAAATTTCATAAAAGAAGCAAAATGAATTCAATTGTCTGTATTTTCCTAGTCAAAAAGAATAGTGAAAGTGTTAGTTGCTCGGTCATGTCCTACTCTTTGCTTCTATCTCAGCCCAATCAGAGAAGAATCATCTTCTTACAAACTTAGGGCTAGGGGCGCGAAGAAGCAACATATAAAATCCAAGGGGTTGAGCAAAGTTAGCTGCTGACAGTGTGTAGAAACACATGCAGACATAGCAATAGAGGAAATGGGGATGTCTCTGGTGGTCCAGTGGTTAAGAATCTGCCTGTCAATGCAGGGTACACAGGTTCCATCCCTGGTCCGGGAAAATTCCACTTGTCATGGGGCAACTGAGCCCTCATGCCATGACTACGGCAGCCCATGTGCCCTAGAGCCCGTGCTCTAAGATGGGAGAAGTCGCTGCAGTGAGAAGCCTGGGCACCACAACGAAGAGCAGCCTTCACTCGCCACAACTGCAGAAAGCCCTTGTGCAGCCATGAAGACCCAGCATAGCCCAAAATAAAGGGTCTGCCTGCCAATGCAGGAGATGCAGGCAATGTGGGCTTGATCCCTGGGTTGGGAAGATCCCCTGGAGGAGGGATAGGCTACCCACTCCCGTATTCTGGGGCTTCCCTGGGGGCTCAGATGGTAAAGAATTTGCCTGCAATGTGGGAGACCTGGGTTCAATCCCTGGGTTGGGAAGATCCCCTGGAGGATGGCATGGCCACCCACTCCAGTATTCTTGCCTGGAGAATCCTCATGGACAGAGAAGCCTGGTGGGCTACAGTCCATGGGGGTCACAAAGAGTGGGACATGACTGAGCGACTGAGCTCAGCACAACACAGCATATGATTCCAAAGCCCATGCTCGGAGTTTCTGGAGACTCCGACCTCCCAGTTAGCAGAGCTTTAAGCCTTCTGGGTTCTTATTCCAGAATCATTTTCTTAGAAAGACCTGAACCACAGCTCATGCACAAAGCAGCTACCTGTTGTGGCTTGAAAAAGTCACATACTCCTTATACACACACACACACACAGTCCTTTAAAACCTCTGAAAGCTCTCACCCA